CACTATTAGGAAATAATATATGTATCACTGTCTCAGAAGCAGAGTACAGTGTTACGTATATATTATATTACTTTCTCAAAAACAAAAGTTTTACATGTTATTAGATTGACAGTCTAATAATGATTGTATATGTATGAATGTCTATAAATACAGTTATTATTAGAAATTGTCAATCTGATAAAATATAGAAATCTTGTTTTAAAGAGAAATAACTAAACACTATCTTTCCTTACGAAAAAGAATTACTAGCAGTAATATTGTATATTGCGGCAATGATACAAAAGAATTACTGGCATTCTATATAATTGCCAGTATTATTCTCAGTGATTCCTGTAATATCTAATAATGTTTTGTAATAATATTCTTGAGTGATTGTCAGTAATATTTATATTACTGACTTTATTTATATGTAATCGACAGTAGTTCTTTTTTGTAAGAGTTTGAAGCATTTATACACACATATGTATATTTCTTTTCTTATCCTTTATCTCACATAAAAATCTTTTTATGTTGCAGTGAAAATCGGAAAAGAAAAATTAATTGTGTTGCCTCGTCTTTTATTCCTGTCCATTTGGATTTTGTTACTTTGCGTACAATAGAAACAGTAGAGAAATTAAATCTTTCTTCATCACAGATATTAAAAGCGTAAAGTAAGTTAATAATTACTTTTAAAATCACTGATACATATGTATATTTCTTGTAATATATTATTGTATATTTCTTGTAATATGTTAATGCTTTTGGAAATTTATAATATTACAAAGCAAAGTCATACTACGTGATTCTAATTACTGGCTAGCAGCAATATCACATGTAGTATGTGACAGTGGTTGTCAAAGCGGTACTTAACCTTTTAAAATTGCAATAAAATTTAAATATTATATTTTACTATTATGTATTGCTGAACTGATTTCAAAATACTTTATTAATCAAATTGTAGAAATAGATAAGCAGTTCAAACTAAAGGCAGAGTGTTTTGCCGAATAATAAATTTGAGAAAGAGAATCCAGACGTTTCAGCTGTTTATTAAAGTCATCGGTGGAAAAAAAACTTGGAATTTATAACAGTTTTTCAAATCAAAGGAATTGACGATGTGGTTTTATAAAAATATTGAATAAATGGTCTAATAAAGTAAAGAAGATGAAAAAGTACAAACGGTCAGTGTCGGTGTTGACAAGTTTAATGTTGACGATGCTTTCAAATTATTAGTTAGTACGTTCATCTTCTTGACTTTATTACAAGACTATTTATTCAACCAACATATTTCTGTAAGACCACATCGTTAATTTCTTTGCTTTGAAGGACTGTTACAATTTCTAATTTTTTCCACCAATAATGACTTAAATAAAAAGTCAAAACGTCTAGATTATCCTTCTCGAGTGTATTATTTGGCAAAACACTATGGCAAAACCCCTGGTATACATTGCTTTCTTATTTCTGCAATTTGATTTTTTTCGATAAATATCAAATTCTGTCACTCTTTACATCATTACTCAGCACATTATTACTTAGTAAATATGTCTTTATAACATTAATATTTTCACTTTTTTACAGCGTAGTAATTGTATATTTGTATGTAAAAGTTTAGTTTTTAAATATGTATAGTGCACAAAACAGTAATATTGACATTTTTTTCCTTTTTTTATTTTGCAATTATATTTGCACTTGTATGCAATAATTTTATGTGATACTGTAACGGAACCGCCGTGTAACGCGCGGCTTGCCCGGCCTTCCGCCTGCTGGACAGCTCGGTCAGCCCAGGATTCGGGTTAGAGGAAGGAAGAGATAACGACACGTTCGGTTACTTCTGTAATGCAATGATTCTATATTCTTAATAATTCTGACTATATACAACGTCAAAACGACGCGGGACACGAAGCCCTTACAGACTGGCGGTTCGCGGCTGTGATTGGCGCGCGCAAGCTGTCACGGGTCGGTCTCGGCCGACGCGGTAACGGAACGGAGTTTTAAGTACTAAGGAGGGAGGGCCGTGAATATATATTATACAACGAGGGGTCTCTGGTTACGGGAACGCGTATATGCGTATCGGCGTCGGTCGCGCGGTGCGCGGACGCGGAGGGTTGCGGCACGACGTGGCGCTCGCGGTCTACGGTGGCGGGTTTGCTACTTAGTAGCGAGAGATGTCCAGGTGAGCCGTGAGAGCGGCTGTTCCGGAGAGCCGTGAAAACGGCTATTGCCAGGCCGTGAGAACGGTCGATGGGACGGTCGGTGTACTTTTTTTTTTTTTTTTTTGTTATCGGGGGGAAATGCTTTACGCATACCTATGTCCCTGGGGGAGGACACAGGTTATGCGGGACTCCCCTCAAAGAGAGGGTTTACCCGCTAAAACCCTCCGGTGGTCATCCATCGCAAATAGGAGAGAGGGTGGCTGCCTGAAAGGCACTTACTTCTCCCCCCTCCCGCGTGCGATCAAGCAAAGTTGTAGTCTCTGCCTACTTCCAAAGTTTATGGAGAAGTAACAAGACCACATTGTTAATTCTCCATTACTATCCTGCAGACTGCGTGCAATGGCCGAGGAAGACCTCCCCCAGTCTTCCCCTTCCTGCAGCCTGCAACTTTTCTGTCAGCAGAAAGATGGTTACTTTCAAGTATCGAACCCACGCAATTATCGAGACTATCGTCTCTGGCCTTGGCAGATTCTCTCCGCTTCTTCTTTAGTCAACATCACCGCCTCGCAAAACGCGAGGAAGGCAAGCCAACTCTTCTGATCATTAACAGACCGCTCGATGATCGAGGCCAAGGACAAGTCCGGTCCGATCACGCTAACGAGGGCCAATCGTTCCCGCACCCATGCTGGACATGCAGCAAGGGTATGTTGAGCCGAGTCCTCATCGCTCCCACAGTGGTCGCAGTAAGGATACTCAGCTTTTTTTATACCGTACAAGAAGGCGTTGAAACCGCCATGGCCGGTGATTACTTGGGCAGCTCTAAAAGATAAAACCGCCCCCCGGCATGCTACCCATTGGTCCAGCACCGGCTTAAAAGCCTCGCGGACTCTCTTCCCAGGAAGAGTATGATCCCTCAGGCGGACTCGCCATGCTTCCACAGCGGCCCGTTCCGCCTATCGTCGAAAATCCGCCAGGTCTTCAATGCCAGGTGGCGTCATCTCCAGGCGGTCGCGAGTGAACCAGAAAGTACTGGCCCATTGTCTGGCCATAATGGTGACAGGAACCATACGCGCCAGCACCCGCGCCGCCTCACCAGAAACCGTGCGATACGTACGCGCTATGCGCGCTGCCACCACTTTCTGTACCCGATTCATAGGCCTAGACGCCTTTCTTACTATCAATTCCCGGTGCCATATGGGCGCTCCATATAATAATATGGAGTGAATCACGCCTGAATATAGGCGTCGCACCCCCACGCGTGGGCCCCTTAAGTTGGGCATAAGTCCACTTAATGCGCCTGCCACCCGTGCCGCTTTGTCTGCAGCTTTACGAAAGTGTTCCGTGAACATCCAGCGTTCATCGACCTACAATCCTAGGTACTTTATTGTGGGCTCTGAAGTAATCCAGGTCTTGCCAACTAACACTTTTGCAGGCTCCCTTCGCTGGCCTTTTGGTCGAAAGACCACAATCTGTGTTTTTGTTGGGGCCAGGGTCAGCCCTAAGTCCATCATGCGCGCCTCCACCGTTGCCACGGCATTTGTAGCTAGATGTTCTGCCATCTTCACCGTTTCTCCTCCGGCCAGCACGAGGGTATCATCCGCGTAGCACACCAAAGTGCACCCGCGCGGAAGGACCCCGCGCAGTACAGAGTCGAACGCCAAATTCCACAAAAGCGGGCCCAAAACTGAGCCCTGTGGAACCCCGCATGTAACTTCGTAAGAGTGGATGCGTCCATCCGCTGTAGGGAAGACCACATTTCTGGCTTCCAAATAAGCATCCAAGGCCGAGCGAAGATAAATCGGGAGGCCCCATCTTCGGGCCGCCAGGCGAACACTCCGCCACGAGAGGGTGTTGAAAGCGTTCCGTACGTCTAGACTCACAGCAACGCAGACTCCACCCCTTCGCGTGACTTCCTCCACCGTCGCTCTTACCCGAGCGACTGCATCGCACGTGGACAGACCAGAGCGAAATCCATACTGGCTCGATGACAGCCCCCCTGGCGGTTAATGCATTCTTCAATGCGACTAGCCAGGATTCTTTCATATAATTTACCCAGTTCGTTTAAAAGGCACAACGGCCTATATGACGGCTGGGCATCTTGATGGTCAGGCTTGGGGATCAACACCAACCGTGCCACTTTCTACTCCTCCGGAAATCCCCCCCTTCTGAGGCAGGTGTTAAAGCACCTGAGAACCCGGCCAGGCGTCAGGGCAACGATCTTAGCCCACACAGAGCATGACAGCCCATCAATGCCAGGTGCCGTTTGTCGCCTAGCTATTTTCTTGGTCACCCGCTGTAGTTCTTCCAGAGTAATCGAGTATTCCGGCTTCCACGGAATACGGCTTCGAGTCACCGGTCGCTCATCATGCCCGACAGGAAAAAGACTCCGCACCATAGCCATCGCTTCGTGTACATTCATGAGCTCGGTAGCGGAGGGACCTGCCTTCCGCAGTTTCTTCAAAACTAGCCTGTAAGGGGTACCGCAGGGATCCTCGTCCAGGGCAGACACCAACTTCATCCATGCAGCTCTTTTGGCTGTGATGATTGCCTTTTTGAGAGCCCTCTGCGCCCCTCGTAAGGAAACTCGGAGGGGTTCAACAGCCTCAGGGCAAGCGCGCCTACGTCGACGAGCACGCTCAAAGCGTCGACGCCACATTAGACACAAGGTTCTCATCTCCGCAATTTGCGGAGACCACCAGTAGGCTGATCTTTTATCTGTGGTCATGCTAACGCGCGGCATCGACGCGTCGCATGCATCCGACACCGTACGAGTCAGCCATCGAACCTCTTCTTCCGGAGATGTGTCATAGTTTATTGGGTCCCAGGTGGCCCCCAAAACTGCCGCCTCAAAAACGTCAGGATCCCATTTGTTACGGTTCCAGCGTGTAAAATGTATGCGCCGGATACTCGGGACACCTGATCGGCCAATCCTTATTTTAAATGTAATTAAGCGATGGTCAGAGAGAGTCTCGTCTCCTACGACAGTCTATTCGCTTACCGCCGGCACCAAGTTTGCCGAGGCCAGGGTAATATCTACAATGGAAGAACCCTGAGGTCTCACGCATGTTGCCTTTCTACCACGGTTCACTATGTGGAAGCCATATTGAGCTGTCTATCTCTCAAGCAGCCTGCCTCTCCGGTCGGACCTTGGAGAACCCCAGATTGAGGATTTCGCATTGAAATCACCAACAATCAGGGTAGAGCCACCTCCCATCCGTTGAACGCTGCCACCCAGTTCATTTAATCTAGCGTTAAATTCATCGATGTGTATATTAGGAGAGAAATAACAGCTATATACTGCTATCCCCCCCCATTTGACCGCAACAAAACCGCGGCCGCGCTCAGCCATGCGACAAGTCAAGTGACCAATCGTAGGTGACCTCCACATAATGACCGCATCGCCATTTGTATCTCTTGCCCAATTATGCGAATCATGGGGAATTCGCCACGACTCTGATACAGCTAATAAGGCCGCATCCTTTTCCATCGCTGTGTGAACAGCTAGGTCCTGTGCAGGACCACTACGATTAACATTAATTTGCATTATGCGGGCCATTTTTGTTATTGATTTATTGCAGCATCAACTTCCATGCGACACTCGTTATTGTTGTCGCCTGCTGTCCTCCGCACAGCTGCTTCTTTCGGGGGTGCTTTTGTCCCATCACGAAGCCCGTTTCGCCCTTTGGTTTTAGAGGAGCACGCCTCGCCTCCAGCTCGATGTCCCGAGGGAAAACTTCGAGAAGCACATAATATGCAGCAAGGTGCATCACTGCACACGCGCGCTATATGACCACCTTTGCCACAACAATAACATATGTCGCTGCGATCGGTGTCATTGCGGCAGGCCCGCCGGACATGGCCGAACTCCATGCACCGGAAGCATTGAAGTCGCCTGCCCGGCAGAAACACAACCTTCGCGCTCGTCCAACCTACTCGGATCTTGCCTATCGCCGCAGCTTTCTCCGCAACGGAGAAGGAGCAACGGACCCATAGAGATCCCATTGTATCGCGATTCTCGCGAATTGCGCCAGTGCGTATCTCTTCAGAGGCACATCTTCCGTACTCCCCGGAAGATAATGCCTCTACTACCTCAGACGTCTCTACAAAGACGCACAGGCCCGTAATCCTTAATTCTCCCTGTTGAACGGGTCTGCTTACTGCTGCTTTGCCCTGCAAGATCGGAGTCAGAACCTCAGCCAATTGTTCTGCCTTTTCAAGACCTCCTGGACCAGGAATCTCAACTAGGATTCCGCCTCCAAGTTCGCGTCGTACTCGTGTATCCTCGATGCCAAGATCGTGTAACTACACCCGGTCTTTTGTCATACGCATAATGTCAGCATATGAGACAGGGGTGTCCCCCTCCTGGATACCACGTATAGCAACTGCAGCCGTTTTACGGCGTCTTCTTCCGCGGTTTTTCCTATTATTGGACGTCCGTTCTACACTTTGGGATTTAGGCTTCCTAGTCTCTTGCAGGCGTTTTTGTGCCCGTTGTTGAGGAACTTCCCGCATTATATGAGTATCTTTATCCTCTCTCTCTCTCTTACTCTCGTTGTTCTGTTTCTCGCTTCAGCACCACTATCGTCTCTCGCAGCCGGATTACCGCGTGAGCTGGCGGATGCTTTATTATCGCCCAATTTACGGGCTTGAGCGCTTCCTTTTCTAACCACCGTTGCCCATAAGTTCCCAGCGGGCCCACTCGTACGCTCCGCAACATCTCCCGTCATGCACGCAGAAGAAGCATGGGTTAGGAGAGGACGAGTGCCGTCCCCACATATTGGTTTGGCACCCCCGCTTCCGCTCCGAATGTCCCCATCCATCCGGTCCAAGATCTGCCTGAGCATGGATCCAACACTTTGAACCTCACGTTCCAACGCAGATATGCGCCTTTCTATTCGTTGAGGGACAGGTCGATCGCCATCTGCAACTCTGGATTTATCAGGAGCCGCCATCTGTCTGTCCAGAATAGGGACAGTACCCGGAGGAAGCGCCGCAATTGAGGTCACTACAGGGACCGGGTCCGTTTGAATCCCAGCGTCTACCGCATCCCGGCCACCGCCAATTCCATCCGTCGCTCGTATTTCAGTTTCTGCAGGAAACCCTGAACAATGAAGATCCAGGGCCTGCTGCAGCCTCTTTTCGACCTCATCCTTTTCTCTTCTGAGGTTTAAAACCTCGTACTCCGCATCAGCTACACGCCTTTGTAAGTTGCCCACATCCTTCGCGCATAGACTAAAGGAGTCAATGGCCTCTGTAACATTAGAGGCAATGTTATTAAAGAGTTTTTGGTAACCCCCTTTGAGATTACCACTCTTTTTTGTGTGGACTTTAAGGTCCTCCATGCACCTCCTAACAAAGGCCACAATTTGCGGAGCCGTTAACTCAGCAAAGTCGACGTCATCAAGTGGGCCAGGGCCCTCAGACTCGCTACTATTATTGCCCCCAGCAATCAGGCTTCTTTTCTTGGCCTTCCGGGGCCTGGTCTTAAGGCACCTCGTGACAGGAACCCTTGTCTTGCGTGCACTCGACGACGTCGACGTGCTGCCCTTCATCCAACTATGTAGGCGCTTAGTGGCCTGCTTTCGTTCTTTTACTGGATCCAACACCTGATCCAGCGTGAACGCATATTCGCGTACAGCATCTGTCTCTAATTTTTTGTCAGAGACAACTTGTAGAGTGTTCTCCGCTTCCATGGAATGCCCATCAGAAGACAGCACAACGGGGCCCGCTGTTTGTTCAGACGTCAAGTCCAGGGTGGCATCTAAGGATGTAGGAACCACCGTCAGTGACTCCAACATGGAGCTCGGCAACGCGTCCTCCCAGGGCTCGCCATCTTTGGCGCACCAGGAGCCCAAAAACTTTTTATCTGCAGTAACATTAAAAACTGCGTTGCCTGCATCGCACGGCGCAGCTAACCCCTCGTTTGATGTCGACGGTACGGGGGCAAGGTTGGAACCCCCGAGCCGCCGGGACCTGGACGTCCGATCGCCCTGGTCCGGTACTGCATCCTCTTTTTCTTTGTTATCCATCATGTTGTTCATGGGTGGTTTGATTTTGGAGTTTCATTCTCCTAGGACAGTTCCCGGCCAAAGGTAACGAGTCCGTCCTACCCGGGTTTGGAATCAGGGTTTTCCTTCTCCTAGTCCAGTGGCCGACCCGAAAGCGCCTCTCGGAGCTGGACACCCCGGATTTGTAGTCAGGGTTTACTCCCCTAGTCCGATTGCGCCGTGGCTGACGGAGTCGGACACCCCGGATTTGAAGTCAGGGTTTTCTCCCCTATCCCAGTTGCACCGGCAAAAAGTGCTAAGCGAGGCTGGGAGCCCCCGGTTTTTATTCGAGGTTTTCCTTCCTCTATTTCCTCTCTTAGTACAGGAGCTCCGCGAAGGGCCTTCCTGGCATGGGTGACCCTGCCAGGGAATCAAAGGATTCCCCGCCAGTATAGCCCCCTAGCTTCACCGCTCCTAAGCCCGGACACCACGACAAGGTGGAGGAAAATCGCCCGGGACGGTCGGTGTACCTGAGCCAATGCTCCGGGCATGGTTGGTACGGGATTTCTCCG